GGTGCTAATACTGGACTGAGTCTCTCTGATTTAATTTAATTAATGGGTTTGTTAGTTCTTCAATAAATTCCATAGATTTGCATAATATTTTGGTTGTTTAAAACCCCTTTGTTATTTTATAGCCTATAATGTTGTTGTTGTTGTTTTGTTGTTGCTGTTGTTGATTGCCTTCAAGTCGAGCATGACTCATAGCGACCTTATGAACTAAAGGCCTGAAGCCCCTCTGCAACCATCAACATTTATCAAAGTTCATAGAGTTTCCAGAGGCATGTTGTTTAGGAAGTGGATGCCAATCCTGCTTCCAAACCTGTCATAGAATGTTATTGGTTGTGTCACCTGTAGTGCATAGCGACCCTATGTACAGCTGCTCTGAACTCTTCCCTGTCCTGATCCAGTCTCATCAATTCCAACTCACCAGCCCCCAACCTTGAGTCTATCTCCCATGACTTTAAAAACCAAATCAGGAATACGTTTGAGGCCTTGAACACTAATGAGCAGTCCAGATAAGCTGTGGGAAAGATAATAAGAGTATCTTTCATGAAAAATATCAAAAAGTCATTACTAAGAAGGAAGAAGAAGAAATGACAAAAATGGATGTCAGAAGAGACTTTGACTAGACTCTGCACCAGAGTGCCAAGAAGCCAAAGCAAAGAGAAGAAATCAAGAAGTTAAGGAGCTGAATAGAGGATTTCAAAGGGCTGCTAGGGAAGACAAGGCACATATTATAATGAAATGTGCAAGGAGCTGGAGTCAGAAAATCAAAAGGGCCAAATTTGCTCAACATTTCTTAAGCTGACAGAACTAAAGAATAAATTCAAGCCACAAGTTGCAATGCTTAAGGATGCTATGGGCAGAATATTGAATGATTCAAAAAGCATTAAAAGCAGATGGAGGGAGTATACAGTCATTGTACCAAAAAGAATTGGCTGACACAGAAGAATTTCAAGAAAGAGCATTTGAGGAAGAGACAATGATGATGAAGGAGGAAGTTCAGGCTGCTCTAAAGGACTTGGCAAAAAATAAAGCCCCAGGAATTGCTAGCCTATAAGGGTGTTTCCCAGTTCTTTCAGAGCAGCTTCTTTACCACAGGCTCCTGCTCGTACACTTTTTCATTAAATTCTTCTGTATCCACCAATTCCTTTTGGTTCAATGACTCTGTATACTCTTTCCATCTTCTTTTAATGCTTCCTGGATCATCTAATTTCTGCCCAAAACATCCTTTAGTATTGCAACTAAAAGCTTGAATTTATTCTTCAGCTCCTTCAGCTTAAGAAATATTGAACAAGTTCAGCCCCTTTGATTTTCTGACTCCAGCTTTCTGCACATTTCATTGTAATACTTTCTCTTCCTGCACTGCCCTTCGAAATCTGCTCAGCTCCTTAACTTCTTCATTTATTCCCTTAGCTTTGGCTTCTCAGCACTCTAGTGCAATATTCCGAGTCTCTTTTGACATCTATCTTGATCTTTACTTCCTCCTCTGTCTTTGTAATGACCCCCTGCATTCTTCCTGGGTGATGTTCTTGATATCCTCCCACAACTAATCTGATCTTCGCTTATTAGTGTTCAAGAGATTGTTCTTGAGATGGTTTTGAAAATCAGGTGGGATAGACTCAAGGTCATATTTTGGTTCCCGTGGATTTAATTTAGTTTTCCTTAGCTTCAGCTTGAACTTGCATATGAGTAAATGGTGATCCGTTCCACCTGACCTAGTTTTCACAGCTGGTATTGAGCTTCTCCAGTGATTCTTTCCACAAATGTAATCTATCAAGTCTGCACATACCATCAGGTGAAATTCATGTGGATAGCCTGCATTTATGTTTCTTATAAAAAGTATTTGCAATTAATAAATCATTGTGCAAAATTCTTTCATTCTATCTCCAGCTTCATTTCTGTCACCAAGTCTGTTTTCCAACTACTGATCCTTCTCCTCTGTTCCCAACTTTTGTATTCCAGTCAGTCACCCATTATTATTATTATTATTATTATTATTATTATTATTATTATTATTACATCTTTGATCAATCTCTGACTGCAGAAGTTGATAGAAATATTTTCTCTTCTTTGGCTCTGGTTGTTGGTGCATACATTTGAATGATAGTGGTAATCACTGGACTTCTTTGTATATGTATGGATATTATCCTGTCACAATATTGTATTTCAAGATGAATCTAGAAATGACTTTTTAACTATGAAAGCAACCCAATTTTTTTCACCTTTTAATTTCTGGTATAGTAGATCATAGGATCATCTGACTGAAAAAAACAAAACAACAACAACAAAAAAAAACCACCAAAAAAACAAAAAACACAAGACCCTAGGAATTGATGGCATGCCAACTGACATATTTCAACAAACAGACACTGACCTGGATGTGCTCACCAAGTTGTGCCAAGAAATCTGGAGGACAACCCGCCTGGCCAACTGACTGGAAAAGATCTATACTTGTTCCCATTCCAAAGAAAGTTGACCCAACAAAGTGTGGAAAATATGATACAGTATCATTAATATCACATGTAAGCAAAATTCTGCTGAAGATTACCCAACAATGACTGGAACATCACATCAACAGAGAACTTCCAGAAGTGCAGGCTAAGTTTAGAAGAGGCTGTGGTACTAGGTATATTGTAGCTAATGTTAGATGGATCTTGGTTGAATGTAGAGAGTACCAGAGGAATGTCTATATCAGTGTTTCTTTGACTATGCAAAGGCATTTGACTATGTGGATCACAACACACTCTGGCTGACTCTGAAAAGAATGGGAATCAAAGAACACTTGATCATGCATATGTGAAACATATACTTGGACTAGGAGGCAGTCATCAGACGAAAGCAAGAAAACTGCATTGTTCAAAATTGGGTAGGATGTATGCCAGGGTTGTGTCCTATCTCCATATCTTTTCAATCTTTATGCAAAACAGATTATTGGGGAGCCTGGGCTCTAGGAGGAAAAATGTGACATCAGGATTGGAGGTAGACTCATCAACAATCTGTGTTAAGCAGATGACACAACCCTGCTTACTGAAACTGAGGAGGACTTAAGCACTTGCTGCAGAAGGTCAAAGATTGCAGTCTTCAATATGGATTGAAGCTCTACGTCAAGAAAACAAAGATTCTTGCCTCCGGGCTGAGTAGCAGCATCATGAAAGACAGCAAAAAGATTGAGATTGTTAACAGCTTTAATTTTCTTGGCTCCACAATCAACACTCTTGGTATCAGGAGCCAGGAAATTAAAAGAGGAATTTCACTGGAAAAGTCAGCTGTAAGAGACGTCTCTGAAGTACTGAAAAGCAACAGTGTCAGTTGGAGACTAAGATGTGCCTGATCCAGGTCATAATTTTTGCAGTTACTTGCTATGAATCAGAAAGGTAGACAGTGAGTAGGATGATAGAAGGAGAATTGATGCCTTTGAGCTGTGGTGCTGGAGAAGAGTGTTGAATATCCCATGGACTGCTAGGAGAGGGTGAAACCAGGCTGCTCCTTGGAGGCAAGGATTCTGAAGCTTCATCTGACAAACTTAGAACATCTTGGAAGAAGGGACTGGTCCTTGGAGAGGGATATTATGCTTGAGAGAGTAGAGGGACAGCGCAAGATGGAAGACCCCCAATGAGATGGATTGATTCAGTAACTGGGGTAAAGGGGGTAGTTGTGTCAGAGACAATAGATTTGCACAGGATAGATCAGGGTTTAGGGCTGTTGTACATAGGATCGCTCTAAGTCGCAAGCAACTCTACAACACATAACAACAATAGTGTCTGCCTTTTAACCCCATTGCAATAACTTTGCTGAAATATTAACATGTTACTAAAACTTTCTTAAACACACACGTAGATAGATTAGATGACAGATTAGATGATGATAGATATATAGATAGATAGATAGATCTAGATAGATACATAGATACCTAGATACATAGATACATACATAGATAGGTAGATACATATACAGACAGATAGCATATATGCAGCACATGGCCAGGAGGGACCAGTCCTTGGAGATGGACATCACGTTTGGAAGTTTGGAGGGGTAGCGCAGGAGAGGAAGGCTGTGGCTGAGATCTGAGATTAATTGACATGGGACAATTGGATTAGGTGTGTCAGAGAGTCAGTGAGACTGACTCAGGATAAGGCAGGGTTCAGGGCTGCTGTACATAGGGTTGCTATGAGTCGCAGGCATCTTGATGGCACATAACAACAACATGTGCAGCACCTAACAATAGCATATATTACAAACAATAATGTTATATAGTGTAAATTACATGGCTATTGGATTGATTCCAAGGCTGTAGAACACTACAGGAAGACACTGCCTTCTCTTCCTCCCAGAGTGCTGACAGGATCAAACTTACAAATATTTTGGTTAACAGCTTAACACGTTACATACTATTCCACTAAATCTCCTTATTAGATAGTACTTATTTTTGCTAAATCCATCCAGTCAGTGTTGACTGACAGCAACCCTACATATAAAACATCCAAGCTTTCTTCAATCCTCTGCATCCCCACAGTCTTAAACCCACTGTTGCAGTCTCTGTGTCACTCTGTCTCCCTGAGAGTCTTCCTTTGCTTCTCTAGTCATCTGCTGTTCCAGACATGATCTTTTTTTCCAGGGACAGGTATCTCCTGGCCACGTGCCCCAAGTATGTGATACTGAGCTTCAAAATCCCAGACTCCAAGGAGAGACTTGGTTTCACCTTCTCCAAGACCGATCCATTATGTTTTCTTGGAGGTCCATGGTATGTTTAAGACTTTCCTCCAGCACCGTAATTCAAAGGCATCGATTCTTGTGTCATCCTTAAGTTCCTAATGAGTGATGCCCAGTTATCCCCTCTTCATTAGCCCAGAAACAAAGGAAAGTATATTTTATTTCCTGGTATCCTCTAATTTTCATTAAATACTTTGCTAGATACAAAAGTCAGAGACCTTGGGACTTTCATTAGAAAGTTTTTTTAAAAAACTCCAGAGGTAAATATAATAAACACATTTCATTTTCTTCTTTTCTAGAATGGGGGCCAGTAAATTCTTTGCAGCCTGAACCCATAATCAGTGAGTAAATTCTATATATCATAGTGATTAAAGATAAGCAAAGCAACTACTAGAATATCTGAAAACATCATAGTGTCACTTTTAAACATTTCTTCATAAGATAAAAAGTGCCATTAGAAGGCACCACAGTATACACGCACTGTTTGTGTGTGTAAAGTTTTGAGATCTGGGTGGAAGCAAGCAAACTATGATCTTTGCCCTCAAGAAATTTACAAAGGAAACTAAATCCTTTGAAGTTATTTCATATCTATCTAGCTTAGTGAATAATTTATGTTCTCTTATTTGGAAAAAAATTCACTTTTTCCATTTTTATTTTTGAAGTACTTAACACTTCCTTCAAACATTGGAGAGAATTCTTTATTTTTCCAACATTTTCTTAACTAAATGCAGAGAATCATAAGATATTGCAGTATTGCACAATTTTTACCTCTCTCTCAGCTGAAATCTACCTTTAAGTTGTCTGCAAGGAATATATTTGCTAAACTTCATCTGTAGCGAACACTATATAACCAATATAAAAAAGTACATTATTTTCATAGAATTGACATATACAGTAGTCTTTAGGCAAAAAGATTCAGCTATAAAATAAAGATCTGCGTCATTAAGTAATGTCTCCTTAGACAGATTTTATTGGCAGATTATTGTATTGAAAGCAATAAAACTGAAGTACTTTCACTAAATCCTGACTTTGAGAATTCAATCTGACTTCTCTCTCCACTGCCTTATCTTCAAAACTTTTATCTCAATTTAGCATGGTTGATACTTATTAATAGAAGTAATTGTTTCCTCTTATTAATGAAATTTGCATAGCTAAATTTTAGTTTAGAAGTTTATTTGTAACATCTGTCACCTGGATGATTGTAGTGTATTTACTTCTATAAGCAAAATGATCTATCATTTCCTTTACATATATTTTTCATGATTTCACAGACCAGGTGTTTTTTATGGGTTTATTTTTGTGTTTTTAATTTCATTTAAAACTCAGTATCATCCCAAAGCTGGCAAGACTAATTCTAGGATTCTAGGACAGATTTGAGATAAGAAAAAGAATTATCTCAAATCAGATCATTCTGTCCTCATCCTGGAGTATGTTGAAAAGCTAGAGTAGTCCTAAGATGTAAATTAGGTATTTCCCCCCCCCACCCCATTCATTTATTTACCCAGCAAGCGTTTAGCTAGAGGCCATACTTATTGCTCCGCTAGATAAAAGATATTTTTTAAAAAAATTCTCGTCTTCATTGTACTGGCAGCCCATCAACTGAGACAGAGATGAGGACAAATCATTTTCTCATGTGTTAACTGATGTGAGCTCTTTATAAGCAAAGTGCTTTGGAAGCCATTAAATCTGACTTGAAGAGTCTGGAAAGATTTCATAGTAGGTTATTTGTATTTCACCTCTTGCTACTATGGCTTCTGCCCTAGCCTTGATCCAAATTCCTCTTCCTCTTGTGTTTTAGTTCTGCCCTTGGTTGCTGTGAAATATAGGGAATTTTGCTGCTCATACAGAGGCGTCACTGGTGTTTGAACCTACCATTGTCTCTGTGGGAGAAAGATGATCATTGTCCTCTCATGCTATTCACAGTATCAGAAAACTCCTGGAGGATCAGCTATGAGTCAGTTATGACTCAGGTGTTATGGGTTTGAGTTTTAGTACAAAGAACAGTTAAAATAATTCCACATATTCTGAAATAGAAAAGTAGAATTTGAGGAACGCAGAGCAAGATGACTGAGTATGTGGATACTTCTAGCAAGTAGCCCACAGAACAAAGAATTAAAACAAGCACCACATCCTTACGGAATTATTGAAAACCAATAGAGTGTGCCATAAGTCAGTATGTTTCTCCTTAGAAACCTAGAGGCCAGAAGACAATAGGGAGACATATAAAATACTGAAGGAAAACAAGTGTCAGTCAAATTATTTGCCTAGCAAAGCTGTCATTCAAAGATTTGAAGGAAATAGAGATATTCACAAGCAAACAAAAGCTCTGCGAATTTGCCATTGCCTGAGTAGCTTTGCAGGTATTTACCAAGGGAGTACTCCAAATGGAAACGCAAGAGCATTAAATAAAACTTTGCATCTTTACAGGGGAAATAACTAAGCAAGTAATATAACAAAGGAAAATGAGCTCTCAAAAAGGAAACACAACACACAGGCTGTAATAAGGATCAAGCTAATGGTATTTTTAAAAGATATAATAAATTTAAATCCTTAATAATTAAGTCTTGAAAACAATTGAGCATCAAAATTGTATGAAATAAATACAAAATAAACTTGTTGTATTCTTGTGTCAGTGGAGATGCATCAACAAAAATGGGAAGGAGGAACACCTTAGGAATGGATTTATTATATTAAGGTTGTATTACTGTTTCATTGCTAACGAGAAATGCAGATCAAAACTATCATGTGATACCATCTGACCCTAGCTAAAATGATAAAACACAAGAAAATAGGTGGTAAGTATTGTTGAGGATAGGGAGACAGGAATCCTTACCTATTGCTAATGTGGTTATAAAATGGTACAACTATGACAAATTGTAGACTACCTTCTCAAAACTAGATAGATCCTGTGATTGGGCAATCCGATTTCTAGGTATACCAGCAGCCAGAAAATTAAAAGACATATTACAGTGGGAAAGTCTGCTGTCAAAGACCTCTCCAAAGTACTGAAGAGCAATTATGTCAGTCTAGAGACTAAGATGCACCTGATAAAGTCCATGATCTTTTCAATTACTTGTTATGCATCAGAGAGCTGGACAATGACTAGGGATGAAAGAAGGAGAATTGATGCCTTTGAGCTTTGGTGCTGGAGAAGAGTGTTGAATATACCATGGACTTCTAGGAGAACAAACAGGTTTGTCCTGAAGGGGTTGAAGCCAGGCTGCTCCTTGGAGGCCAAGAATTTGGAAGCAAAAAAAAATAAAAAAAAAGAAGCAAAAAAAAAAAATAATTTGGAAGCTTTCATTGACATACTTTGGACATGTTGCAAGGTGGGATCAATCCTTGGAGAGGGACGTCATGATAGGGAGAGTGGAGGGAGAGCTCAGGAGAGGAAGACCCTCAGTGAGATGAATTGATTCAGTTATGGGGGTAATGAGGATAGGCGTGTCGGAGACAATAGAAATGGCAAGGGATAGAGCAGGATTTAGGATGGCACATAACAACAACGACCCTTAAAACAATAAAATTCCAACAACAGCAAACAACAAAATGTCATTGCTGTTAAGTTTAGCCCAAACAATAGCAACCATATTGTAGTACATCCATAGAATAAATTATCAAATAAATAAATAATAAATAAATATCAAATAAATAAACAAATAAATCCATAAATAACAATGATGTTTGTTGTTGTTATTAAGTGCCATCGAGTTGCAGGCGACTCATAGTGACCCTATGAAAGAGAGTCCTTAACACTTGTGAACAATGATGAGACATAAAATAAAAATAGCCTGCATGGTCCTGGAGGAAATACTACTAAGTGAAATAAATCAAGTACTAAGGAGAAATATTGTACAATCTCTATTTTGTAAGATGTGGCACCAGAATTGGAGACAGACTCACCAATAACATGCTTTATACAGATGACACACTTTCCATGCTGAAAGTAAAGAAGAAGGTGAAGAACTTAGTGAAGACCAAACTATAGCCTTTAGTGTGAATTACACTTTATCATAAAGAAAACAATTATCTTCACAACTGGCCCAATAAACAATATTATGATAAATGGAGAAAACATTGATACTGTCAAGAAATTCATGTTTCTTGGATCTATAATAAACACTGATAACCACAAGCCAACACATCAAAAGGTGTATTGCTTTTGGCAGTTTTGCTGTTAAGGATTCCTTTAAAGTGTTAACGATCAATGATGTCAGTTTAAAGATGAAGGCATGCCTAATCCAAACCATAGTCTTTTCAGTTGCTTCACATGTATGTGAAAATTGGACAGTGAAAAAATTGATGCCTTTGATTTGAGATGTTGGAGAATACTGAATTTACCATGGATTGCTCTCAATCAGATACCTTCTCTATGCAATGATTAACTGTTTATTTTGTGCTGAAATAATTAGTGTATTAAGGAGAGAGGATTAGCATGGGATACAAATCCCACCCTACGTAAGTTTACAATCTCATCGGACCTCTGCGCGAGGTGCTTCTTTTCCTTTGGAAAAGCTCCCTTACCTGGGAAATAGCTTCCAGCTGCTCACTCATCTCTGTATCACCAACCTATATCATCTGTAGTCACCGTCTAGCTGTGCCACAACTGACAGTCCCCAGGATCCTCACCCATCGCTCACATGTTTCTCCAAAACCAGCCCACATAAGTATGTTCACATGAGTCATGACTCTGAACCCAGGGATCATAAAGGAATTGGGGAACTGAGCCACAGATGTTCATGTTAAAAAGTATGGACACATACAGGTGATTAAGCATTTGGAAGTATGTTGACCTGAGACGTCTCATAAATAGTCTGCTATTAATCTTAGCTATTGTACATAGGATTTTCGAGTACTGAAGAGCAACAACATCAGGCTGGAGATTAAGGTGCACCTGATTCAATCTGTAGTCTTCACAATTGTGTGCTATGCATCAGAGAGCTGAACAGTGACTAGGGATGATAGAAAGAGAATTGATGCCTTTGAGCTGTAGTGCTTGAGAAGAGTGTTGAATATACCATGGACTGCTAGGAGAACAAACAGATTTGTCCTGCAGAGGATGAAGCCGGCCTGCTTCTTGGAGTCAAGGATTCTGAAGCTTCATCTGACATACTTTGGGCATGTTGCAAAGGAGGGACCAGTCCTTGAAGAGGGACATCATGTTTGGGAGAGTGGAGGGCCAGCGCAGGAGAGGAAGACCACCCCCCCCCATGAGATGGATCGATTCAGTGATTATGGTGGTGGGAGTAGGTGTGTCAGAGACAGTAAGATTGACACAGGATAGAGCAGGATTTAGCACTCTTCTACATAGAGTCACTATGAGTTGCAAGCGACTCGATGG